TCATGTCACATGTATCCAGTAGCCATTTGATTTCTTCTTCTTCTTCTTAGTTGTAAAACACCATTGTAGGTTGTGTTTAGGGTTTCTTCTTCTTCTTCTTAGTTGCAAAATGTGTTTGCTTGATTTGTTGTTATTTTGACAATTTGATGATTGAAGTTTGTTATTTATGATATTTAAAAGTTATGTTTCAAATTTGAGCACATTTGGAGTAGATTTGAGTATTAAATTGTGTGTTTGATTGTTGAAATTCGAAGAACAAGTTTATGTTTGAGAACTTAAGATCCGATTTCTGAAGTTGCATTGAAGAGATAGACTACTTAAAATTTGAACTTTCTTGCATTGGAAAGATATAATTAGTTAAGATCCGATTTTTGAAGTTGCATTGAAGAGATATAACTACTTAATATCCGATTTTTCTGAAGTTGCATTGGAAAGATAGAAGAACTTCAGATCCAATTCTGAAGTTATATTGAAGAGATAGAACTCCTTAAGATTCGATTTTCTAAAGTTGCATTAGAAAGATTAGAAGAACTTCATATCCGATTTTAAAGTTGTATGGAAGAAATACAGAACTTCAGATCTTGATAGATAAATTTTATAAATTTTTGTGGAAGATAGGTATAACTTCAACGGAAACATCAAAGTGGGTATCGATGAACTTCTCTCGTCTAAAGCCATCAGTCGGCCATACTTTCTTATAACGAGCCTCTTGTAAGTTTTTTACTCCCTTCAATTCCAAATATTTGTTATTTTGATAAATTGAATATTGTTTCAAAAATATTTGGTATTTAAATATTTAAAAAATTGTTATTACTTTTTACTTTTTCTTTTCAGATCTACCCCTACTGTTCTAATAAGTGGATTGTTAATTAAGCGAAACTTTAAGAGAATATAAAAAGTAATTTAGATAAATACACTATTGATTAAGGCTATAATAAATATCTTTCTTATATCATGCCAAAATATTAAAAGACAAATAATATGAACAGTAAATAATATTATATATCGTAAGCCTAGGAGAACCTCAAAGCGTATGAATCGTTATTGATATTCTTTCTATTTTCAAGTTACTTGAGTTCGTTCATTTTTATCGGATTAGAATGTTTCTTGAGATTTGTGAAGTTTGTTGGCAGATAAAACTTCATGTCCCTATCTTCACGGCCAAAGGACATAAAATTCAAACAAATAATGATGGTAAACTCACTAACATGCCCATGATTTTTATATCTTGCTTTACTTTACTGAAAGGATGAAAAAAAGAGAGAGTAAAAACAACATGATGAGGATAAAGCAACTTTTAGAAATTTTGATGATTGTTGTGTGGGGAGCAGAATCAATGTTTTTCCTTAGAGGGTGAACAATTATCAAACTCTCCCTTAGGAATGAAGAGATGGGACATAACAAAATATTACTACCTAGATATAAGGAATGCACGATATTTGAAAACATATAGTGCTAGCTAGTACAATGGCAAAAGGTATATTACTGAAAAATGCAGTAGAATGCTCATATAAATCAGCAGTTAAATGTACCATGTCAGACTTCAGACATAGTCCAACATCGATAAAATACAAGAAAAATATTGAGTATATAAATTAACAAGTCTTACACTCTAGCGACACATTTTAAACCCGTGAAAACATAGGTCTTGAACGGACGATATCACCAATGGGGTGTTATATCAAAGCAAGGTAAATTTATGTAGAGAGTAGAATAAAATGTAGAAAAGTAATTCGTTAGTTGTAACTTAAAATATGCTTAAGAAACTAACCCAAAAACAGTTACTATAAGATAAAGAACTTTTAGTGTAGTATATGCAATAATTGTTAGGGGTCTTTAGTAGGTCGTATAAGAATAGTATTGAGTAGGGTATATTAGTAATGCTGAGATTAATTATGTTGAGATTATTTTTAATCTATTGTTTGGTTTGATATATTAAAAATAATATGAATGCATATTATTATTTTTTTTAAAAATACTTTTTACAAAAATGCCTTCGACGTTCTTTGAAAAGAATATGAGAAATGATTGTAAAGGGCACGCAGTTCTATCTTTATACATACTTATTCATAGTTTGCTATGTATAAGATAATTCTGCATAGGGTATATAACTAATAAAGTTATACATATGTCGAAAAATATTAGCACACAAAGAATTAATAATACTAATACTGATACATATATTATTATTCTTAATGTGTCCTACCAAACGATCCTTAGGGTCTTGGGAGAGCGTGATGTACATCGAAAAAGGGAAGACAAGAAACAGAGAAAAAGAAAGTTTAAGCTTTTATATAGACTTCTCTTATAATTTGTGACTACAAGAGCTAATATATAATGAAAAAGAAATTAAGAAGTTAAGGGTATTATATATCCAAGCTAATATAAAAATTGAGACTATGAAGAATTGTAGCTCTTTAGTCCCAATTCCTTTTTATTCAATTTTTATTGTCATTTGGACCATATTCCAGTGTATATTCCTATTCCTAAAATCCGTAGTTTATTTCTTATTTCATTAAAATCCGGGTATGGTGGAGTTTTTTAATATTTTATTTAATTTTGTTTTTTTATTTGAAAGCAAAATATATCTTGATTTTCGAAAGGGTAAAAGGAAACAGAAAAAAGATAGAGAGATTATGCATCTTCACTTATCAAGAACTACTAGATCAATCCTTTCATTCTGGAGTAACAGTGCATCTTTCTTCTTAGTTCGAAGCGGGAGCAAGTTTGAAAAAGGATTTTAGAGTTTCTAAGATTGAGTCGCGAATATCTCTTAATTAATGCCATTTTTCATCAGGGTTATTTCACAAAAAACTTATAAGATAAATAAGAAGAAGAGAACAAGCACACTTGGAAACCTCAGTATAACATAGAGTTGTATGTTGTGTTTGGGAAGGACGAAGCAGTCTCAAAAAAGGATTTAATTATTGTTTCTCTTCGAATTGGTTGGACCATTGGTGCGATGCTTTACTTCAGGGCAAGGTCTTTGGTTCAATTCAGGTCCATTAGAAACTTTTTTTTTGATTTTCCACCCGATGTCTGGTTGATCGGTATCTGTATTGGAGCTCGACTATATTCGGATTCGCGCCTAGTAGGGCCTCATTCAGGGAGAAATGCTCCCTATCAAGAATTTTTCCATACCTAAAGCTCGAACTCGAGACCTCTAGTTCAAGGAGGAGCAGTCACATCCACTGCACCACATCCTTTGGTGATTGATATTCATTAGCAACTTGAATGAGTTGTTTAATATATATATATATATATATATATATATATATATATATATATATATATATACTTGCATTTGTTTAATTACCATAGAAAAAAGTGTTTCTCTCTTCTTTTCACCTTTTCACTAATGATTGGTACAAATTTTCAAATGAAAATGACACTGAAAATGAAAACTTATGAAAAGGATTGTGCTGTTTATAATTCTCATAGTTTACCATAAGAGGCATAAAACATGTAAAAGAAAAAAAGTAACTTTCCTTCCCAAACCTTACATATCTATATATATAATTTAATCTATCATGACCATTCAACTCTAACACTATAAATTTTTTTCTTTATCTTTTCTTGGGGCAGTCATCTCAATGAGACTTCTCAAAAAGAGAAACTCACGAGTTATTTTTCATATTAGAAAGGGTTAATTAAGATATATATATGCAAATGAAAAGAATGAAATAGTGAGTAGAAGATGCAAAATTTTCTTCAAAATATAAAGAGACAAAACAAAAAATAAAAAGATGAGAAAAGTCGGACTAATAAATGGCAATTCGTTGTCATTTTCACTTTAGCAGCAGCAATCCCACTGCATATCTATGTTTTTTATACTCAATCTCCCCAAGATTCGAAAAAAGGGTTTTCCTCCATTCTCCAACGTGAAATATTTTGGCTACTTTTTTTACTTTTTACTTTTTTGTGTAGAAATAAAGGCCACGAGTAGTGCTCTTAAAATACCTAAGCATGAATATAAGAAAATGTGAATGCCCCAACTCAAACTATATAAAGTTACTCTTCCTAGCTACTGCACATAACGCCATTCAACTGTTCGACAAAAATAAAATAGAATGCAACAGATCTTCAATTTTACGGTTTTATGTTTCTGAAACAATAAAAAATGTATAGTTTTGGTAATTAAAATATTAGAACAAAAAGGGTATATGCATATTCAATAAAAATAAAATGGCATAGATNTCATTCCAGAGAATTAATCGGATACTAATTTAAGTAATATTTAAAGCATCTAAAAGTGAAAAAACTAGAAATTTAAAGCAAAATGAAATATTAATTAATTGTTTTTTTTCAAAATATGAAAAAGAACTGCCAATTTCTACGAGCAGTAGTGCGATCATAGCGACGTGAAAAAAATGTATTTGCCCCATACATGCACCAATTAATAAAAACATTGCAGTTGTTATTTTTTTTTTTTTTTACATAATATTAGGACTTAAGCATAAGTAATAAACATGTATGTTGCTGATGATGCAATACCAAAAACTTAAGAAAAATATTTTAATTATTCACTTTCATACTGTGTGTTAGTGTGTGTGTTGCTCAGATGCAAAACTGATTAACCAGGTGCTGTTAATTCTTTCAGATACACAAAGAAAGAGTGAAAGAAAGGGTAACTCATTATTAGTTAATTCATTAACTCATTTTTCGAAAACAATTACGGGGTATCATTTAATTTAATTAAAGCTTTAAAATATTGCCATTCAAGCTTACTTTCTTGTTAGTTGAATGTAATACTAAAATGGCAAAAAGATCACGCCAAAATTAATCAATCCGCATATATCTATTTTATGTCTCATTCTTCGTAACTTAAGCCAAAAAGGTCTTCTCTTCACATGTAAGCACAAGGCTAGGCGAATGTTGCGTTTGTTTACGTAGTAATCATCCGTAATTTACGGTCCAAGGCCAAAGACTCCTCTGCTAGCTAGTTTTATATTATATTTTATTTCTCTGGTAGTATGGGCATTACACCAAAAATTAATAAATAATAAATAATGAAATATTGTATATTAATAATTTTGACAACAATGGTAGCAGTAAACATACTACACTGTACATACATCATCTTCTAACTAATAGATAGTTCTCTTAGAACAAGAATTCTAGGAACCAAAAAGATAGAAAAAATAATAACAAAGTCCTAATTTCTACTAATGGTACATACTATGTTTTTCTTAACAAGGAAACAACTCAGAAAATTGGCAGCTCGGTGCACAAAGCATCTCGAATTCACGCAGAATTCGGAGAAAGGCTGGACTCTGAGGGTATGATATAAACAGCCTACCCTCTAATGCAAGTATTAATGGTTGCTTCCACGGCTCGAACCCAAGGGTATGATGTAGACAACTTATCTTAATTCAAACATTAGTGGTTACTTGCATGGTTTGAACGAATAATCTATAGGTAATATGGAAATAAGTTGCTTTAGTGCTCCCATCGAGAAACAGCTCAGAGATTTGGGAGTTAAAAATTAGCAAAATGGTAGGACAATTACTGATGAGAAGACACTACTGAGCAAAGTTCAATGGAGCCATAATCAAGTAATTCTTCAATCATTTGTTCAATGTCGTCATCTTCAAGGGTATTAATAAACTGTGGCGTGTGCTCTACAGCTTCAACTTTCATCACTCCCCAATTAGCCCCTTCTTGTTCCTGTGCTAAAAATGTTGGCTTTGACATTAACATTTGTGGTTTTGTTTCATAGGCAACATGATTTCCAACATTGGCTACGGCAGTCTGAGCATATGAAGTTTGAATTTTTCGAGGTGGTTGTTGGTGTTGTTCTTGTGCTGAGTTTTTTGCCATTTGAAGTGAAGCCATGTAACATTTATGTAATTTAGCTGTTAAAGTTGCAGAAAGAAGTTTTGAGGAAGATGTTTGCGGCATGTTTGGGTTGTAAGGGAAATTAGTTCTTGCTCTTGGACCACACATTAGTCTTGCTGCTTCATCATATGCTCTTGCAGCATCTTCTGCTGTCTCAAATGTCCCTAACCAAATTCTTGTTTTCCTGCAAAACATAACAAAAAAACAGAGCATTTTCTTGTTTAGCCTTAAAAACAGAGCACTTCAACAACTCCACAACTTTAAATATATTTGAATAGATTGGTACTTACAGTAATGGATGCCGGATTTCAGACACCCAAGAACCCCAATGTCTCTGTCGAACACCTCTGTAACGTTGTTGTGGTCTCGCCATTGTGAATGCCAATGCAAGCTGAAGTTGTCTTTTATGTGTTTGTGAAAATGCCTGAATGAGAGAAAAAGGAAAACTTGGAAATGATTTTGGGATTGTGAGGGAGGGAGAATGTGGAGGGGATTGAGGGGGGTTTTTGTAGTTGCATTTTCTTGAGAGAAACATGCAGTGAAAGTGCTGCTTCTTTTTTTTTTTTCTAAGGCCTTATGGTCTGGCAACCAAATTAGACAAATGGACCCCACAAAAACTTGAGGAATCTTAGAGCTTCTTTGGTTTTTTCTTTACTCATTAGTAGTTACCAGTTGGCTTATTGGAACTGACATAATTAATAAATCAACTAATATGTGAAAGAAATAATATTTTTAGTCAAAAAGTGACCAAATTCAGCCCCCATTATATAACAATTACTTTTGTTGCACAAAAAATTCTCTATTATGTATTCTTATTTAATTGGTTTCAATGTTCTGCATAATTTAAAATGCATAATCTCATAGATCTTTCATGTGACTGGAAATCATGATTCAATCGAGGTATTCATTGCCAAATAAAGTATTGTTCATAATCCAAATGAAAATTGAGTTTACCAGTCCAAGCATATTTGTCTTTACATGGCATTATATTATCCAGATCAGGGTAAATCAAGGGGATAACATAACATACCTCGGTTTTGCTTCTTTTGTTTTTTGTGGCCAATCAATGGTTTTGCTTTGATTATGTAGAAAATACACAAAAATGGTTTAAATATACTCGTCCTGCACATGAAAAGCTCAAAATTTTATTGTGTGATGAGTTTTCATCAATGATAACTTGATTACTTATTTTCAAATGTTGAATAATTCGCATAATAGTTTCATTTTAGGCTGCACAATTTTAACCTATGATTGTGTAATGCGATAAAAATTGAAAAGCAAATTATTAAGAGACATGGCCATTATTTGCAACCTATATGATATATGATTAGTAAGTCAAAGGTATGGCCAAGAATCTTAGACCATCATAATTAGAGTGTAGATCCAAACCACTTACTGACTACTGTTTTACTATTGTAGGATCACACCATTTTTTTCTATTCGATGTCCGGTATCCGCATTTGGGTCCGACTATATTCAGATTTGCATCTCGTATAAGGTCTTATTTCGGGGGGAAACGCTTCCTATCAAAGATTTTTATATACCTAGGGTTTGAACCTGAAACCTCTAGTTAAAGGAGAGCAGCATCATCTGATGCACCACATCCATATGTTGTAGCATATCACCTATTTTCCGAAACAATGTCTTGTTACATATTTTGAAATTTATAACAAGGGTAATTCTGTTGTTATCATTCTATAAATAGATTTTTGGATCTTTCAAAGAATAATAAATTAAAAAAAGGAAAAGGAAGAATGGTATGCCATGAATCTTTCACATTCAAGAAAATGAGTGGCATATGGGGCTAGCTATTTATTATAGTAATGATCTAAATTGTGATGGCAAGTGAGTAAGGGGTTTTTGTTTACATGCAAAATGCTGCACATTGCTTCCATCATGGGTTCCTAAATTAGGAAACACAGCCATATGCCAGGGTGCTTGGGAAAGGTACAACTTAATGTGTTAAGTCTCTTATGCATATATTTTGGAGGACCCATACCCCTTGTCACACTAACTATACCCCACCCCCCACATGCTTTGAGTTCCATGGCATGGCACCCTCCATGTTTCTAGTTTCCACAACATTCTATATTTTCTTCTTGCTTGACTCGAATAAAACCGTGCTCAATTTCATATCTGATAATTCCGCCAAGATCTCATTGTTAGTTGGGGAAAGAATTCGTCTGAATCGATTTTTTTGAGTAACATATCAAGAGAGAATTTACGTATATTAAAAAATTATTAAATAATTGCAAAATTCATATTTAGTAAATCAGACAACTATAGTAGAATCTCAAAATTAAACTTATAATATTTAAATTCTGATTCGTCTTTGGTGAGGGATGTCAATTGGCAATTAACAAGGGTCAAGCCAACTAGTATTACGTTATTTTCAGGAAGGACAATGACTATTCCATAACTCTTACAAGTGATTAAATGATACTTAACAAATAGTACAATAGATATTTCGCTATGACTAGGGGACAATTGATGATGATATGGACAATTAAACCACCTCAAAAGGGACTTTCGCCTTGTTAAATACTTATTCGTATTGAATGTTTACATATTAAATCAAATGATTAAATCATACAGTAATAGTTAAAAATTAAAGTGAGAATGCATATTACTTAATCATAGTTAAGTGATCAAATGTGTAGACATCAAAATCAAAGGATTTAATCATATAGTTAAAATTAAAGTAAAAATGCATACTATTATATATTAATTTGGTGTAAACTCCTGAGGGGAAAAAAGTTTCAGCTTTTGGCGCTTATATGAGCCAATATTTAGTTTCATTTTAAACACAGGCAAGAAATTGCCTCTTAAAGCGGACTAGGAGCTCTCTGAAATTATATGTTTACTACGTTAAAACTGTGTAATTACATTAAAATCCAATTCTAAAGTAACTCTACAAGCATGCTGTAAATTCAACATTTATCCTTATGTGAGCTGATCCAACACTTATTCTCTGACGGGTGAGTAATTTACTAATTTATGAGAAATTTTATCCACTCTTTTTTTCTTTTCATTTTTGGATCATTTCAGGTTTATCATTCACTGTAGATACACGTGAACAAGATTAGTTTTGAAGGGCAAATGAAATGAATGATTGTAGTCAGCGGATGTTTTTCTGACCAATTTGTTTCCTTATATCATAACGCAATCCAAAAGGGGCCATTCAAAATATAACTTATTTAATGCCTATAATATGTTCCATCTTTATTTTGTTCTTATTCCTTCAATCAATACGATCGACAAATTTACTACACCATCTCTCTATACATGCATATATATTTGGGTTCGAGTCCTGGGCATTGAATTACTCTAATTATGGAGCGCTTTATCCTTCAGTATGAAATTTTTTGACTCAATCTATATTTAGTCGGGTTCCAGTACAGATATAAAATACCATATGGGAAACTGAAAGGAATACATGCATATATATATATTTGGATTCGAGTCCTGGGCATGGAATTGCTCTAATTATGGAGCGCTTTATCCGTCAGTATGAATATTTTTGATTCAAATCTATATTTAGTCGGGTTCCAGTACAGGTATAAAATACCAGATGTGAAACTAAAAGGAATACATGCATATATACATACATACATATACATACATACATATATATATATATATATGTGTGTGTATGTAT